TTTTTTGGGGGGGGGGGGGGCCTGATGAAATATTCGTCTGTTTGACTATGTTTTACTATAATCCTATAATATGTGTAGAATAATAATATGAGCTATGAATTTAGATTTATAAGTCCATGATTTAATTGCAGTACAGCTTGTACGAAATTATTTTTCAACCTATTAGCCATGTTAAGTTATATCTGTGAACTGTGAACTACCACACATTCACGTTTGAATGGGACTTAACATCTTTACCGTTAGTTTTTTATCGTGTCATATATTATTCGATATGAAATCTATAATTTATTTTTATTATTATTTATTTATGTAATTTTTACAATTGACTTATTATGATATATTTATACTTAATACATATTTGAATTTTAAAGTTAAATGCATTTAACGTTTTTTGTTGTGTCATAATACTATTCAGTATTCGATATGATGATATCTATAATTTATTTTTATTTTTATTTCTTTATTTAATTTTACCGACTCATTGCTGTTAATTTTAAATTTATTTTATTCCTAGTCGTACTTATACACGAGGTTACTTGACACGAAATAATAATAATATTGTATTTAACAGTACCTAATTATGTAAAGTATACGATATACATAAAAATGTTAAACACTTACTAACAATATGTCACCACGGCCCCACCACATAGTTACTTGGTTTTGAGCAGTTTTGGTTAGGTTACAAATGTTTTTTTGGTGGTTACAAAGATTACAAATGATATTACATAATTTGACATTAATTATTTTATATTTAGAGTAAGTGGTGGGGCAAGGTAACGCACCTGTTATTTGCATTTCCCTGCCACCCCCAATTCGAATTTTGGAACCCAATCTGGAGATTTCGATTGTTTATTGTTTTTCCTTGTTTGTTCCGAAATTGTTTGTCGTTTGTTCTATCTCTATTCCCGACTTATAGTCGATTTAAGGTGGGGGTGCCAAGGAAATGCCAGCACCCCTACTTTTGAATATTGGATCCAGAATCGATGCTTTCAAATGTTCTTCATTTGTTCTTGTTTGTTCCGTAAAAAACTTGTGAAATACGACAATACGTAGTTCGATAGTATTTTCTCTGCGAACTCCACCACTAGTAACTGCACTGCAGATGAAAAGCTGTACCCTGAAAAAGTTAACTGACGATAGCGGGCGCACATTGAAATAGAAATGATTAAATGTCTTTCAAGATTCGACACACAGACTTATCTTAGTTATCATTTTTATATTCCATAAAACTGTAAATAATTACTTTTCGTATTTGTACTTCGTTTGAAGAAATGAATAGAGAAGTGACTAAACTCATCTACTATTGTGCATTCTCACCACACCCCGAAATGTCTTCCTTCGATAATTTTCTTAAAACTAAACTTTAGATATTATTATATGCACAACCCCTTCTAGAAAAAAATCTTTTGCAGACTTTTATAAATATCATTAACATTAAGTGTTAATTATTGTATATTTTGTATGATATTATATTTTAAAATATTAGAATTTAAGACGTTTATTTGAACACAATAATTTATTGCAGTATTTATAGTGTTATAATGTAAACGAGGAATGACATACCAAAATCTGGATAACTATCTGAACAATCTTTGCAATAGCATGTTACTGTTGAAATTATTTTATTATACTCTAAGAAAATTATAAAGTATATGGAAAATGTAGACTTTTTGATCATCATTTTTAGATTTTAAAACACTATTTTCAACTCAGTTACTTTTTACTTCGTACACTTAGAAATAATGTTCCTTTACAATCAGATACACAATATAAGTTGATGAAATATATTGAAGCTTTATGTCTATGATATACAATCATTTAACACGTAAGAACCAATCGGTGTTACACTACTGAATAAACTGTTTTGTTTTTTCGTGCGTCATAACACCGTATTTGTTAGCAATAAGCAGGTGGTCTTTCAATTCTTTGGAAAACAGTTGGTTGAAAGGACTTAATCAAATGAAACAAATTAACTATCATCGCACATACTATACCTAAACGGTTTTACTAGAGAGCCTCTAGTTGTCTCAAAACGAGTATCCTCTGTCGTACATAATATAGGTACCACACCCATTTAGTGGAAATCGCTAATTCATGCAGTGGACATCCCATCATGAAATGTATCAATTTAGTGAAAATGACGTTTTATTACAATATGCACATTGTACATGGAGAACTTTTTGACATTTTCGTGAAGTGGATGAAATTCAGTTTTTTCCAAATTGTGTAATATTACTGTTACGTATGCTTCCAATACGCAATATGATTGTTATATATGACAATCGGCCCGGCTAATCGGAAAATTCCGTGATAACATATTCAGTTGTCGCCAAGGAGGGGGTTGACTTTCCGCACTATAGAGCGGTCAGATCATGAGTCCGTCGCTTGAGTCACCTTCCGCGATATAGTGACCTGGTGTACTGTCACCGTATGTATAATATATAATATAGAACTCACCAGCCGTTTCTCAATTTTAAGGTTTACTCATATAAAGCAATCAGTCGGATCACACCGTCATTCATCCCACCCATCGTCAACCCATCCATCCAGTATCTCCGCCGGGTCATTCTGCGTATCTATAGTTACCTGACCCAATGCCTCAATTATTCCTTTTTCTATGAATATTCGCTTTGCGTATTGTTTTGAAAACTATTATTATTATAACTATAACTAACATTAATTGTAAGGGTTGTGCCGACATATGGTGATGAAATGCAAATTTTAAGTACTTTTCCCTTTACACAAGCGTTAAAATCTATTTTATATACCTAGTAAAGTTGTACCTTTTCTATGTCATAAGGCTCACCACACCGGTATATATTTATTCAAGTGACCACAGACCTCGTTAGTTTACTATCGAGATTTGGTACGTATCAATTACTATTATATGCGAGTATCTTTTGTATTGGATAATTGTAAGATTTGCACTAAGTCTTTATGAAATTATCTAAGTGCTTTCGTATACGCCGATTACTTCGACCTACACAATAAACAAACTAATAATATAATAGAACCTTTAATAAACACAAGATCACCACCACTGACCCTACATTTGTCTATTACTAAGATTTATATATTATCGCTTAACGTACGTAGTTTCTGTTTTGCCACATCTGCTAAAACTTACTGACTACCTAGGACTTAATACTAAATATTGTGACATACGTCATGTTTACTTAACCGAATTAATATTTTTAGTATTAATAATTTTTATATTCATGCATGATACCACAAACCCCAATGTAACATAAAATGTTTACCTTGATCGTGAGGCAGACTTTTACTTTTGCAATGTGTGGTAATGATGAGGATGTGACGATCTCAAATGTAACTAGAAATGTAAAAATACGGTTTTTTTCTGTTATCATGTATTATACGTGTATTAAACTTTGTATAATACAGTTGTATTGAATTATGGTATAATAATTGTTTGTTTCATACTGTATTATACACAATTTATACGGTATAAAATCCTGCATTAAAAGATATACAAATATACAAATTTGAAATTAAATATAAAATTGTCATTTCCAGGAAATTCTGAAAACTGAATTTTATTAATAAAAATTAATAACATTATATAAATAAAAATGTGTTTATAAACAAAATACATAAAATTCCAATGTTGATTTGTTATAAAAGTTTTTGTAAAATTAATTAATTAGTTATTAATTTGTGTACTAAATAAATAAACTAATACGGCAAAATATTATTATTATTATGTGAATGAAACTATACATGTTGCATCATGCTTTAGAATCACAATACAAGTATAAAATAGTTTTGTTTAAGAAGTTAAATACTAGAAAACTCGAACCTTAAAATTACTATCCAGGACAATTTTATTAAATCAAATTAGAAACTTTTCATTCTAGACCTACGAATAATCAATTTCAATTCTGCTGTGGAAATAATATGAATTTCATATTTTTTACTTGTCCATGAGCCATGATGTTGCAAATAGCAAATTCCATAGATCCTAAAAATTATAATATTTATTTTGGGGCAAATTACAAACTTTTTTTAAAAATGTTATGGTGCATATTGCACAGGTTGTTTAAATCGTGTGCCAATTTTTGTACCATTTCGTGAAAAAAAAATGTTATACAGATTTAACACCATTGCATAAAATAATTCTATACAGTGTGTATAATACCATATTATTGTACACATTTATATCATTAGAAATAACACAAGACGTTGAACAATTTACTCTAAGGAGTCACTTTATTGTGTACAGTGACAAAAACCAATATAGATTTGAAAGACAGGGACTCGGCTACTGCATGTCAAAATTAATGAAAACAAAACAAAGTAATGATTTTATGTGAAGGTTATGATTATGACATTATGTAACTTAGAGACGTTTAAGTTCTGGCAAGATCGAGCCAAAATAAAACCCCCCGGGCAGATTTATAGCGGCGAATAATCGAGCAAAATAAAATACTTGAATAAAACTTTGGGTTTGGTTGGGAATCTGTTATCAACAAGTAACAACTCGAAAGTCAAATAATAGTGTATACAAATTGTAATATTCTATAGTTTATTACATTAAAAAATTCAGTTATCACTATTATCAGTTGTAGTGTTGAGCCCAGATAAATAAAATTGTATCTAGATAAAGACAAAGATAAATTATAATAATTTTATCTAGATAAAGATAAAGATAACTAAATTATTTATTTATCTAAAGATGAAAAAAAAATTATTTTATCTAGATATATTTTCGGATAATTTTTTTTTTTTTTGGTTTATAGCACTCATTTCTTATAATATACGATACAATAATTTATGTATATTTTATTGTAATCGTAGTATTAAGATTGTATTAGATAAATAGAGCAAATAGAATATACCACATATTTTAGTTCACTATTTAAAATATTTTTAAGATTTTTAAATAGGTACATACATTTTTTAAATTAAATTAATTAATAACTAATTAATATGTACATTTCTTTTTAGAAAATCATCAATATACACAAGTAAATATAACTGCGTTTATAAAATTTAAAAAAAAAAATAATGATTTGGAAAAAAAAGGAAAAAAATTTAAAAAAAAAATTTTTCCCAAAAAATTTTTTTTTTTTTTTTCTAATTTTTCTTAATGGCTTCTTATACGTTCTCTAGTCCTTACATACTTTCTAACATCGGTTTTTGTGTCTCCTCAGAAATCACAACCATTCCCATACCTATCATATTTCAATCATTTCATTTTTTAATAAAAAAAACACAACCAGTAGTTATAAAAGCAACTTTACTTCATAATAATTTATAACGAAAATACATATATGTTAGATGACGCTGTAAAATTATTGAAGCGAGGAACTGCTTAAAGCGGAATTTTTTGTTGGTCCCATATGTGATTCTGCTTTAGACAGTTTTCACTGTATAATAATATTAACGTGTTCTAGTTAAGCACTTTTAACAAAGTATAAATTGTGGGGTTAGGAGTGTCGACTTTCTTTCAGTTTCAAGTCAGTTCATCTAACGTAATTTTTGCAATAACATTGTATAAATTGCTAAAAAACATTGTTAATAAACAATGTCCTACAAATATCAATATTATCGAAACATGTTTCCGAGACTATGAGATATTATTATATTCCATGTTTATAGGATGTTGATGTGTAAACATATAATACCTTTATTATATGATAACAGGAACACGATGTTTAGCTAACGTTTATGAGCACCGTTAGCATTGGAACATAAATCGTATAGAGCAACGACGTTTTGAAACATTAAATGCACAGCAGTATGTAAATATTGTTAATCAAATTCATCAAAATCTCGAAAAGTTGCACATTTTTTCGTTGTTAATAATTTATGGAATTTTCAATTTGTATAGCTACGTATGGACAATTTTGAACAGGATTTCTCACAAGGAGTTCATTATTGCTATTTATATATTTTTATCACCTGAGTAAATATTTGGTACTCAAATAAAATATGCTGCAGTGGCTCTAGACATTTTAAACAGACGTATAGAATACGTACAGAATATGTGGCCGAATACAGTAGGTTGAATAAGTTAGGTTAGAAAAAATACCTATTTAAAATACTAAATTCGGCTTTTCGAACGTTAAAATATCACCAAGCACTTCGTAGGCTTGTATACGCTTTTTAAGGCAATGACGTGTGTGGTGTACCTACCTATTACTTGTGTATTATAGCCGATAGTTCGAATCGAATGCACCCAATTTTTAAGCGATTTGTTTTACATAATCGGGTAAATTTAAATACATTTGAAAAAAGTAATGACGTTTCAGATATATTTAAATAATATTTCAAAGTGATGGAATAATAATGGTCTAACGCCAGTGGCGTTGTTAGTTATTGTGGGCGGACATAATTATTTAGAAATACCTGAGATAGTAGTGCTATACAGTTGTCAATTAAAAATAATAAAACACCAAATGTTTTTCGTCGGTTGCCTCGAAATTGGGAGACAGAACAATCTTGCGATTGCCTGCAGGTTCTATTGTGGTTATCATTTATCGCTGTATTACATATTAATTCGGCTGTACGTATCGCAAAATATTGTCAATATGTCTGTGCGTACACTCGCAGTACACTTCCACATGGAAAATATAACATGCTGAGTTTATGTATGAAAATTCCTTTTCGTATCCTAACACCTAAAAAATGTTTGTGCTTTATTTAAAAAAAAAAAACAAACGAATTGTATTGTATTAAATACTTGATGCGATGATTTACCTACAACACGTACCGTCGCATTCTCGCATAAATTCGGACTTGAAAAGAAAATCAGTCCTACACAGTTCAACAATAGCGCCCCACAATTCATTCACACTAATGAATTTCAAAAGGAAAATTTATAAATTCTAATTTTTTCCAAGGGGGAGGTATTGGAAATGTCAAAATTAAGTAAACGATTTTTTTGTCTATAACGGGTATCGAAAAAATTCTGAAATTAGTTGCACAAATTCAAGCTAATGACACACTTACATTTCTAATTTTTCCATGAGGGGGATCCCCTCATATATTTTTGAATTTACGATTAAACCAGTATCGAACAACTTCTGAAAATATTTGCACAAATCAATTCTTATGGTGCACTAACGTTTAGAAGCAAAAATTTCAAAATTTAAATTTGTAGGGCAGGCGAAAATATGTACCTTCGAAGTCCGCTGTGGCCATGATATCCAACAACATTGCATGAGAGTATATTTTTAACCATTATAACCTTCGGTAGGCATTTGCTGCACGCCATACATGTTGACCGCACCACCGATCTAAAATAAAACAATCGATGTTATGCTTAAAACATGTTTTACAGGAACAACACTTACGCTTTGAATATTCGTCATAATTGATTATCGTTCTTTGTTAGATTGAGCCTTTGAGGGAAATTTTTTACTGGCCACATTTTAGCTTTGAACCTCGACCAATTTGCACGGGTTTCCGGCATATTCAGAGAACGCAATTTATCAGCGATTCGACGAAAAGCTATCCGAAAGTTTCTTACAACAGATTACGGGTTGGTTATGCCTTATGCGACCAGCGGATAACATTTTACTCGTTACTTGCGTGGTTTTAAAGTTTGTTTTGATTCAAACCATGGTTTATAGAACTTGAGTTGGTCAATTACCAATGGTTAACTAATAGTTATTGTCATTTTATTTACCAGTTAAAATTTTAAATTAAAATCAATAAAATATATTAAGATACAAAGAATTTTAAAGCATGACAATTTACAAGGTTTTAAATGTTTTAATTAATTTCTAGAAAAAACGGAATAAATAAATACAGTGGTCGCCGCTTAATGTAATCACTTTGGTACGGGACATAACTGATAACATAATCCGATTGATAACACTAAACGAAAAAAATAACAATTTAGTGTTGCATCAAATATTATGATCATTATTCTTAACACATAGTTATTAAAAGTATAATTATTTTATTTATTATTATTTATTTCTAATTAAAGTACATATGTAAGTATAAATTGGTAATTTAAAATTTAAAAAAAAAGAAAAAGGAACACAATAACGGTTGGGAAATTTGTAGCTTAATAGCTGCTTCACGCTGTCCCATTTTTGGTAAATTGTCGTAACTTTGTAATATTGACAAGTTATCATAAATTGTTAGGTCATTTCTTTTTCTTTTTTCACTTATTTTTACGCACACGCGACACGGATGCACACAAACGATACTGGTCGACGGGCAGCGACGGTACTGTCTGAATGGTGTGTAAACAAAAATGATATCAATGTGTATAGACATTTTTATCTTTATTATGAGCTATTTCACGAAAACTTGGACATTATTTTCTTTATCTAATAACTACATAATGATGATTTTATGACCTCAAACTGATAATATTATGCGGCGTATTGATTACTTTAGTCTACATAATTTACACATATAAGTATACATCCGGCCCGTACTTATACTTTTCGATAACAATAAACGTTTGATAACATTAACCGTGATTATAATAAGCAGCGACCACTGTATACGTATATTAATTAAGATACACGAAAATCGATAAAAATAATAGTTAAATGATTCAAGAACAAATGACATGAGATATAGTTTCAAAGTATAGCAATTTTATTGGTTAACTTTGTAAGTTGTAAAATTTATTTTTTTAGTACAAAAGACGTTGTTTGTGGAATTTAAAACAGAAAATATAATATAAATTAATATTGCATTTAAACGACTATTCTTTGATGACAGATTTACGATTGTTAGTACAAAACCTTAATATCTTAATTTAAATCATTTTTGTTGATGGTATTTCTTGATGATTTCTTTCGTTTGAAGCAGCTTATACACGAAGTATCATCGAAGTCGTCATCATTCAATCGTTTGCTTGACCCTGCTTTGAAACTTTGCTTAGATCGTGCTCCAAGTTCTTCATTTGTCAAAATTGGCTTGAAGACAAAACTAAAAATTAAAAAAAATGTTATCAACGAATGAATAAATAAACAAAAATTAATTTTACATACTTGGTCATAAATTCTATAAATCTAGTAGCATAGGCATCAGGTGGTTGTACAGAAATAGAGCTGACATCTGGTGGAAAACCAGGTGTCAATTCTATTGTAAGGGTTTTATACGTATTCTCTATTTTTTTCAATGCTCCATACTCTTCCAGTATGTCAATAATTCCAACAAATAGTAGCATTCTTCTACCACTTCCACTTTTAGCAGGTATACTACCTCTTAACGAAGGACAATTTTCCTTTGGAAAACTTTCAGCATCTTCTTGAATGCTTTCCATTCCTATTGAATCAACCATCAAACGATTAAACCTGGCAGAAGCTGCCTGACTACAATTAGAAGTACCTTCATCGATAAAATGAATGCCTAATAAAAGACTGTAATTTGTTTTATTTAATTTTTTTAGAAAATCAATATCATTATTGATAGTTTTGAGAAGATCTGAGAGAGTATTTGGCATTAAAAATATATTATTAAGATACTCATCGTCAAAGTCTAAATCTTTAAATGTAGGCGATGGCTTAAGTTTTTCTTTTCTGGAAGCTGTTCTTTTGTAAGTCGAACCTTTCAGATCATACTTTAGGTGCATTTTAATGTTAGAAGGCAGTAAATTAATCATAGATACTAATTTCATGTCTATAGTATTGCATTTATAACCATAAAGACCCGAGAACTTTGGCAACAGAGATCTCGGATTTTCTTCCATATGTAAGCGGTATTTAGGAAGCAGTTTTCGAATAGATTGAAATTTGGCTGACTGTAAGGATTTTATGATAAATTTACCATCCTGTGTGAGATAAAATATAGATTTACTGTCACCAGGGTCGGACAGTGCACGAAGTGGCGTGTTATAAGACAAATTTTGCAAATAATCTTTTTGAATTTCAAATAAGTCTCTGAAATAATGGAATACACATGAAGCGTACGTTGTAAAAAAAAACCCTGGATAATAGACAGCTGGAGTGTAATTATTATCAATCATATATTTAAACTCAGTATCATTGAACATCTTAAAATCTTTCATACGCAAATTATGTTTGTGCTTTGAAGAAAAGCTTTTTATATCATATTGTATCCCTAGTTGTATGATATCTTTAGTTTGAGCTATTTGCATTCCATCATTGGTGGTTTTACCATCATCAACACCCACTTGCTCAGACCCAGAATCTTTCTCTTTTACTTTGATTTGGAGATCATTTCGTCCAGAAAGTGGTATGTCTTCTTTGATAACAACATCTAAAATGGTTTTAAAATAAATAATTATCAAAAACTATATTGGAAAATATATGTACAGGTTGAGGGTATATGATATTCTGACACATTAAGATTTGTCCAAATTGTGGCCTTGATAACGGTCTCCTTAAGGGGGGGGGGAGGCTGGCTGACGTTATCAATTATTTGAAACATGTCAAATAACAATATTTTAATTTTAATTCATAGTAAGAGTATATAATACTGAAACTGATAATACCCAAAATAAAAAACTTATATTAAATTTAAACAGCCGTCGTCGTCCGTAGTAAAAGGATTGTTTCCGTTTTATAATTTTGTAACTAAAAGGATACATGTTTCCAAAGTTTTATCAGATTACGGATATAGTTTAAACTTTTTAAGTTCAATACTTCATACCTTAAAGATACAGTAGGCAAATTAGTTGATCGAGTGTCGTATCCATTATCCCCTGTGATGATATGGGTCTTACAGATTACAATAATTTAATAATCTATTCTAAATATATTTTTATTTCTTATTTGTACAGGGCACTAATATTATACTATTCGATATGCCTAGGTACATACATTTAAAGTAATTTGAATTTGCTAAACATAAACATCTAATACATATCGCTTTAAAACGGGGACAGCCCAGGCACCTAAAATTGTTTCACACGACCATGTCTCCTTATCAATATAATATATGAATACAAATTAAAAACTTCAATAGTAGAATACAAGTAAACTTGTAACTAATAATTAAGACAGGGCAATTAATTACATTTTTTAAACTCATTTAAATTAGTTAAGTATATTTTTTTTAATTACATTAAAAGTTAAGTCAATAGAAATTTTAAATAAACCAATTGATAACAAAAAATACTATTAATTCAACTTAACTTCAATTAAAGAGTTATATTAGTTTAGGTTTTAGGCTTCGTGGGCTCGTATCTATTGATTGACGGGTGACTGTTAATATTATTATTATTTGGAACCTAATCAATTCTACGTTTTTTCGTCTATAAAAAATAAAAATAAATGCGAAATTATTCATAAATATAACTTTTTTTCCCCCCATCCCCCCAAAATCCTCTACTGAATATTTTTATAAGTAAGTATATGAAATGGTAACTATACATTTTATAAAAATACAACTCATATCATATTTTGAAATATTGGAATATCAGATGATTATTCGAATACAATATATTGAATGTATTGTGTTATATTACAAACGACTTACCCTTTAGAGGCACACAAATTGTGAAATTACATGTTACTGTTAAAACTATTATGATATTATACATTAAGATATTTTTAGGTCCTTTGGGCGTATTAACCATCACTTTAAGGTTTTTAAACACTATTTTTAGCGCAGTTGCTTCTTACACCTTACACGAACGTTTAAAGTTTCTTTAGAATCAGGTAAACAATATAGGTATATGAACATAATATTAAAGTTAAATTAACCCTATGGTGACTCATACTTATGTAAGAAACAATGATTTGTGTTACACAACTGAATAAACTATATTATTACATTTTCACGCTATTTTTGTAGTTAAAACCACCGCCCACTGTTCGCTTACAGGCGTAGATCGCGGATTGCGTCGGCTCAAGCAGTCACACCTGTAGAATACATCACGTTTAAAATGTAAAGCAAAAATAATAAATACAGCTCGTAAAGTCACAATAATTCGAAAAACATGACTACTCGATTTTTTTGTTGTCTTTGAGTTTTGATTCGCATAAGTTTGAAGTCGGGTGGTTTTATAGCTAAGTATTGATAAAGTAAAACAAGGTATAATGATAATTTATGGTAGGCATGTCAGTTTTCTTGTATACCAGTTTCGTATGCAGTATGTGAAAGAACTTTTTCTTTTATGAAAATAACTAAGAAATATCTAAGAAATGCCATATTAAATATTTATTATTTTTTTGAAAATTCAGAATCTAAGATACCTATTAGATATAGATAATACAGATAATGCTTAGGTGAATTTGCTGATTCGCATTTTAATCGTAGACTACTTAATTAAAATAAATATATCATTGTTATAATAATGTGTTGTATAATCATTTATGTATGCAATTATATATTGCTTATTGTTTGAAAATATTTTTTAATCGGTACTCTATATGGCCAGTGGAACCGTATAGTGTACTCTATATCAGGTTTGAAATTAATATTCATTATTTTTTTATATCATTGGTATGATATTGTAAATGTCATGATGCATATTGTAATTAAGAAATTGTTTGTTATTTTTAAAACAAAGTATAGGTCATTGCCGCAACTAGTAGTTATAGGTCCAGTCTCTCAGTAACAAACCAAAGATAGAGGCAGTTATTAAGGTTTTAATATTCTCTGGTATTACCAGAATTTGATCTTCTATTTTTTTGTTCAACTGTAATTGTAGGTAACCAGGCGAATTGTTTTTGTTTATTTCTTGTAAGTCAGTCCATCTAACGTAATTTTTGCAATAACATTGTATAAATTGCTAAAAAACATTGTTAATAAACAATGTCCTACAAATATCAATATTATCGAAACATGTTTCCGAGACTATGAGATATTATTATATTCCATGTTTATAGGATGTTGATGTGTAAACATATAATACCTTTATTATATGATAACAGGAACACGATGTTTAGCTAACGTTTATGAGCACCGTTAGCATTGGAACATAAATCGTATAGAGCAACGACGTTTTGAAACATTAAATGCACAGCAGTATGTAAATATTGTTAATCAAATTCATCAAAATCTCGAAAAGTTGCACATTTTTTCGTTGTTAATAATTTATGGAATTTTCAATTTGTATAGCTACGTATGGACAATTTTGAACAGGATTTCTCACAAGGAGTTCATTATTGCTATTTATATATTTTTATCACCTGAGTAAATATTTGGTACTCAAATAAAATATGCTGCAGTGGCTCTAGACATTTTAAACAGACGTATAGAATACGTACAGAATATGTGGCCGAATACAGTAGGTTGAATAAGTTAGGTTAGAAAAAATACCTATTTAAAATACTAAATTCGGCTTTTCGAACGTTAAAATATCACCAAGCACTTCGTAGGCTTGTATACGCTTTTTAAGGCAATGACGTGTGTGGTGTACCTACCTATTACTTGTGTATTATAGCCGATAGTTCGAATCGAATGCACCCAATTTTTAAGCGATTTGTTTTATATAATCGGGTAAATTTAAATACATTTGAAAAAAGTAATGGCGTTTCAGATATATTTAAATAATATTTGAAAGTGATGGAGTAATAATGGTTCAACGCCAGTGGCGTTGTTAGTTATTGTGGGCGGACAAAATTATTTAGAAATACCTGAGATAGTAGTGCTATACTGTTGTCAATTAAAAATAATAAAAAACCAAATGTTTTTTTGTTGGGTGTCTCGAAATTGGGAGACAGAACAATCTTGCAATTGCCTGCAGGTTCTATTGTGGTTATCATTTATCGCTGTATTACATATTAATTCGGCTGTACGTATCGCAAAATATTGTCAATATGTCTGTGCGTACACTCGCAGTACACTTCCACATAGAAAATATAACATGCTGAGTTTATGTATGAAAATTCCTTTTCGTATCCTAACACCTAAAAAATGTTTGTGCTTTATTTAAAAAAAAAAAACAAACGAATTGTATTGTATTAAATACTTGATGCGATGATTTACCTACAACACGTACCGTCGCATTCTCGCATAAATTCGGACTTGAAAAGAAAATCAGTCCTACACAGTTCAACAATAGCGCCCCACAATTCATTCACACTAATGAATTTCAAAAGGAAAATTTATAAATTCTAATTTTTTCCAAGGGGGAGGCAATGGAAATGCCAAAATTAAGTAAACGATTTTTTTGTCTATAACGGGTATCGCGAAAATTCTGAAATTAGTTGCACAAATTCAAGCTAATGGCACACTTACATTTCTAATTTTTCCACGAGGGTGACCCCCTCATATATTTTTGAATTTACGATTAAACCAGTATCGTACAACTTCTGAAAATATTTGCACAAATCAATTCTTATGGTGTACTAACGTTTAGAAGCAAAAATTTCAAAATTTAAATTTGTAGGGCAGGCGAAAATATGTACCTTCGAAGTCCGCTGTGGCCATGATATCCAACAACATTGCATGAGAGTATATTTTTAACCATTAGAACCTTCGGTAGGCACTTGCTGCACGCCATACATGTTGACTGCACCGCCGATCTAAAATAAAACACTCGATGTTTTGCTTAAATGTGTTAAAACACGTTATACAGGAATAACACTCGCGCTTCGAATATTCGTCATATTTGATTATCGTTATTTGTTAGTTTGAGGGTAATTTTTTACTGGACACATTTTAGCTTTGATTTTCAATTCTTAGCGAAAAATTCAAGGGATTTTTAGAACCTCGACCAATTATCACGGGTTTCTGGCATATTCAGAGAACGCAATCTATCAGCGATTCGACGTAAAGCTATCCGAAAGTTTCTTACAGCAGATTACGGATTGGTTATGCCTTATATGTCCAGCGGGTAACATTTTACTCGGTACTTGCGTGGTTTTAAAGTTTGCTTTTATTCAAACAATGGTTTATAGAACTTGAGTTGGTTAATTACCAATGGTTATTGTCATTTGATTTACTAGTTAAAATTTTAAATTAAAATCAATAAAATAAAATATATTAAGATACAAAGAATTTTAAAGCATGTCAATTTACAAGGTTTTAATTAATTTCTAGAAAAAACGGAATAAATAAATATACGTATATTAATTAAGGTACACGTTTGCTTGACCCTGCTTTGAAATTTTGCTTAGATCGTGCTCCAAGTTCTTCATTTACCAAAAGTGGCTTGAAGACAAAACTATAAATTTAAAAAAAATGTTATCAACGAATGAATAAATAAACAAAAATTAATCATCCATACTTGTTCAAAAACTTCATTAATCTAGGGGCATAGGTATCAGGGTCTTGTTCAGAAATATTATTACTTTGGGTAATGGTCTTGAACCCGTGCTCTACTATTTTTGTTATTTGATATTATTCTTGAAGTATATCGAAAATGCCTAGAAATAGTAACAATCTTTCACCACTTTCACTATTAGCAGGGATACTACCTTTTAAGGCAGGACAGTTTTCATCTGGAAAAGTTTCAGTGTCTGCTAGAATATCTTCCAGTCCTATTGAATCAACCATCAAACGCTTCCACCTGGCTGAAGCTGCCTGACTATAAGTAGAAGTATCTTCATCGATTTTATGAACGCCCACTAAAATACTGTAATCCATTATATTAATACTTTTTAGAAATTCACAGTCACTATTGATAGTTTCGAGAAGATCTGAAAGAGTGTGTGGCATTAAAGATATACCATTAAGATAATCTTTGTCAAAATCCAAATCTTTAAATGTAGGTAATGGCTTAAGGTTTTCATTTCTGGAAGCTGTTCTTTTGAAAATCACACCTTTCAGATCATACTTTAGGTGCATTTTAATGTTAGAAGGCAGTAAATTGTTCATAGATATTAATTTAATATCTATTTCATTGAGTTTATAACCATAAAGACCCGAGAATTTCGGCAACAGAGATAACGGGTTTCTTTCCATATGCTGTCTGTATAAAGGAAGCAGATGTCGTAATATTATAAATTCGGTGAACTTTACAGATTTTATGATAAATTTATCATCATTTGTGATGTAAAATATTGATGCGTTAGCCCCCGTGTTGGGTATTTTACGAAGTGATGAGTGACAACACGATTGAATATAATCATATGGACGAATGTTAAATAAGCGTCTTATATAACGGAATGCTTTTGGAGCGTATGTAATAAAAGTAAAATTATTATAATTGCGAGGTGGAGATACATCAGTATCCAACCAACTATTAAACACAGTGTCTTCAATGTCCATAAAATCTCTAGGAGACAAAAGGCCTTGATGACGATTTTTAGTAATTTCTTTTATTACTTATCGAATCCCTATTTGTATCGAATCCCTTATTTCATCAGCTTGAGTTTCAGTTATGTGGATTTCTCTTTCAATAATACTTATTAGTGTAAGACTAGTGTCTTTCAAATTGTCTGTATTTTGGAGACTATTTTGGTCAGAAACCGGATCGTCTTTTTCGGCAACAGTATCTTAAAAAGTATAAAAATAAAATCAGTATCAAGAATTCCATTGAAAAAAAAATGAAATATAATAAGTGGAAATAGAATGTTGACGAACTAAATAACACTCAAAAATTCCTTGAAAGTTACCCCAAAAAATTACTCAAAAAATCTTATTAAATAAGTAAAAAAAAAAAAACAATTAAAAAATAATAATTATTGCCTATAAAAAATATGTAAATATTAAAATTTAAAGTTCAATTCATAGCAATAATAGTATATGAAATTAGTAAATATAAATGAAAAAGTAAATTAGAAATAAAAATAATCTTTTAAAAATATCGGTTCTTAATAAAAATTACGTTTATTGCTTAATTACCTAAAAATGTAAAATGAAATTAGTGTATTCTAATTCAAGGGAGCATGCAATGAATGTACAACTAAGATTTTTATGAGACTAACGAAAAAAAATATAAGTCATCAACATCTAATCATTACTTTTAAGCAACAAATGCACTTTGTAGGTATATGACAATAATTAAATTATCTATTTGTGTCATGTTTTTTTTTTATTTTCCAAAGTTTTAATAATATAGCACCGGATATACCTAGGTATGTCTAATATATTTTACATTTTTTAAATATGAATACATACCTAATATTTTTTGGTTTCAAACTGTCGTGCACCTAAACTGTTTTAAACTACCTATCTTACATAACTTAACCGACTCTAATCTACCCTTTGTAGTATTATATAGAAAAATATTATGGTATACTATATTACTATACAGACAAACAGAATTTGTGTACTGCTGTGCGTTCCTCCCTATCCCAAAAATCTGTCACTGCATAATTGTATAAGTACATTTAATGTTAGTTACACATTTTATAAAAATAGATCTCACATCATATTTTAAAATATTGGATTATCAGATGATTATTTGAACACAATAATTTATTGAACGTATGATGTCGTACAACAAACGTACGTATTATAAACGACTTACCGTTTTCAAACACAGCAGTTGTATAATTACATGTAACAGTTAAAATTATTATGATTGTATACACTAAGACATTTTTAGAGCCTTTGGAAAATTCTAAAGTATTAACCATCATTTTAATGTTTTAAAGGACTGTTTTCAGCGCAGTTACTTCTTAGCCGTACACGAACGATTAAAGTTCATTTACAGTCAGGTTAATAATAGATGTATGACATAAAATATTGAAACTAAATTAAGCTTTTATGATGAAGTGTACACATGTTAGAACCAGTAATTTGTGTTACACAACTGAATAAACTGTTTTTTGTTACGTGCTATTTTTGTAGCTAAAACCATCGCCCACTGAACGCTTATATAGGCGTAGATCGCGGTTTGCGTCTTCTTACGCATCAAAATATAATATTATTACAGCTAGTTAAGTCACAATAATTCGAAAAACTTGACAACTCGATTATTTTTTGTTCCGCTTTAGGTTTGATTAAGTCCAATTCGTGTGAGGCAGTTTTATTACTAAGTATTGAAAATGTAAAACCAGTTTTCAAAAAAATCGATTTTGGTTTTTATCGAAAATCTAAAAAAAATAACCGTAGACACATGAAATGTTCACTGAATATTTCAGTTAGCATTTTCTATTCGTCATAAAATTTTAGAATATTTTGACTTGTGTTGAACTATTTAAATGCATATACAATTTTCGATTATTATTTGTATTTTTTTAACTTTTGCCGATAAAAAGCGTGTAAATATAATACAAGGATGCTCGTAAGTTGTTTTTCGTGAAAATTAAAAAAAAAAAGTTAAGCGCAAATCCACAATAATTTTTTATGAAGGTTTAAACTTAGAATATTGACAAAATTCGTAAGAATCATGAAAATTAGCAAATTATATTTAGTTAAAAATTCATAAAAATTCTTCTTTTTATATTTAAGATCTAAAAATTTAATACAAGATTTCTTATAAGTTTGCTTACCTTTATGAGAGGAGGAGATTTTTACCGGAAGGTCAAATTAAATTTTTATGAGCGTTTGAAGTTGAAATTTTTATAATATTCATTCGATTTCTCTTGTAACGATTTTCTTATTTTGTTGTAAGTCAAAAATAAATAACTGTAGACACTTGAAATTTACATCATATCTTTATTTTATCAAATCATATACTTCATACATATATCAAAATATTTTGGCTCGTTTCAAGCTGTTGACAGCCATTTCAAATTTTCATTTTTTTTTCCTATAAATGTCAATAAAAATGTATTAGTTATGTTAAAAAGCATGAAAATGACTCAATATATTGTTACAATAGCAGTTGAAAAAAATAAAAAATATTAAAAATACATTGGCTCGAATTTTTTTCATAAGCATTGTAGTTTCAAATTTTGATAGTATTTATCAAATTAAAAATTGAAAATGATTTTGTAGTTCAAAATTTATAAAATTTTCAATTTTATAGCTAAGGATTGAAAATTTAAAACAAGACTCCACTTAAGCTTATTTTTCCGTAGCTAGAAAATCTAAGCAATTTATGAAGACAGTTGTATTTTACAGACATTTTAAGTTCAAATTTGGTCAAAAAAAAGGTAAAAAACGTTTATCATTTTGTTGTAATTCGGTTCCAAAACAGCCCGATCAAACATAGATATACCTATATTCAATATTTTTCCAGCATCACTGATAATTTAAGAATAATATGAATTAAACTTACCGGCTACCATATTAATAATAAGTAGGGTTCGGAATTTAATGACCTAAAAACTCTAAAAAATGCCCTAAAAATATAAAAAAAATCGACTAAAAGCATCTGCAATCGGGCTCACGTGCTTCCGATATAGATCTATAAGAAAAATAATTTAAACAACGTAGTATGGTGTTCATATTCAATTATATTCGATCTCCTTTGGTCATAGTACGAGAAATAGGTAAAAAATGTCTTAAAAATGTAAAAAAGCATTGAAAACATCGCACTAAACAAATTTTGTGGTAACAATATTGAGTACCTACTTGAAACACATTTGTAACTTAGAAAGCACAGAAAGCCTGTAAAGCGAAAGGCATTCCCAAAAAAAGACCCAACTTCATCGAAATCGGAAATTAATTGTTATAATTAATAACAATATACAATATCCTAAACTTACATACCGTCACCGTTCACAATATGGTATTTTTTAGGCATCGACGTGTGTGGTGTAGCTACTTATATATAATAGCCGCTAGTTCGAATCGAATGTACCCAATTTTTAAGCCATGTTTCATCTAATCAGGTGAATTTAAATACATTTGAAAAAAGTAATGACTTCTCAGGTATATTTAAATTTAAAAAAAAATTATATAGAAAGATATGAGAAAGTTAGGGTGAGAACACGCCAAGAGGACGCCATCTGTCAATAATTCGACAGAAAGCTATCCGAAAGTTTCCTACAGTAGATCGCGTGTTGGTTATGCCTTATACGTCTAATGGATAACATTTTACTCGGTACTTGGGTGGTTTTAAAATTTGTTTTTATTCAAACCATAGTTTATAGAACTTAAGTTGATTAATTTGTGATTGTTTACCAGTTAACATTTTAAATTAAAATCAATTAAATTTACTAAGATGCAAAGAATTTTAAAGCATGAAAATTTACAAGTTTTAATTAATTTCTAGAAAAAACGGAATAAATAAATATACGTATATTAATATTAAGGTACACAAAAATCGATAAAAATAATAGTTATATGATTCAAGAACAAATGACATGAGATATAGTCTCAAAGTATAGCAATTTTATTGCTTAACTTTGTAAGTTGTAAAATTTATTTTTTCAGTACAAAAGACGTTGTTTGTGGACTTTAAAACAGAAAATATAATATAAATTAATATTGCATTCGGACGACTATTCTTTGATGACAGATTTACGATTGTTAGTACAAAACCGTAATATCTTAATTTAAATCATTTTTGTTGATGGTATTTCTTGATGATTTCTTTCGTTTGAAGCAGCTTATACACGAAGTATCATCGAAGTCGTCATCATTCAATAGTTTGCTTGACCCTGCTTTGAAACTTTGCTTAGATCGTGCTCCAAGTTCTTCATTCGTCAAAAGTGGCTTGAAGACAAAACTAAAAATTAAAAAAAATGTTATAAACGAATGAATAAATAAACAAATATTAATTTTACATACTTGATCAAAAAATTCATTAATCTAGGAGCATAGGTATCAGGATCTTGTACAGAAATATTTTTACTTTGGGTAATGGTCTTGAACCCGTGCTCTATTATTTTTGTTATTCGATATTCTTGAAGTATATCAATAATTCCAAGAAATAGCAATAATTTTTCACCACTTTCACTTTTAGCAGGTACACTACCTTTTAAGGTGGGACAATTTTCATCTGGAAAATGTCCAGTGTCTGCTAGAATATCTTCCAGTCCTATTGAATCAACCATCAAACGCTTCCACCTGGCTAAAGCTGCCTGACTATAAGTAGAAGTATCTTCATCGACTTTATGAACGCCCACTAAAAGACTGTAATCCATTATATTAAAACTTTTTAGAAATTCACAGTCACTATTGATAGTTTCGAGAATATCTGAGAGAGTGTGTGGCATCAAAAACAAACCATCCTGAAAATGTTTTATAAAGTCTAAATCTTTAAATGTAGGCATTCGCTTTATTGTTTCACCAGTGGAAGCTGTTCTCTTGAAAGTCGAACCTTTCAGATCATACTTTAGGTGCATTTTAATGTTAGAAGGCAGTAAATTGTTCATAGATATGAATTGAATGTTTATTTCATTGATTTTATAACCATAAAGCCCCGAAAATTTCGGCAACAGAGATAAGGGATTTTTTTTCATATGCTGTCTGTATAAAGGAAGCAGATGTTGTAATACTTTAAATTCGGTGAACTGTACAGATTTCATTATAAATTTATCATCATTTGTGAAGTAAAATATTGATGCACTGGCACCCGGGTTGGGTATTTTACGAAGTGATGAGTGAGAACACGATTGAATATAATCATATGGACGAATGTTAAATAAGCGTCTAATGTCACGGAATGCTTTTGGAGCGTATGTAATAAAAGTAAATTTTTTATAACGGCGAGGCGGAGATACATCAGTGTCCAACCAACTTTGAAACACAGTCTCTTCTATGTCTGTAAAATCTCTAGGAGACAGGCCTTTATAATGATTTTTAGTAATGTCTTTTATTACATATCGAATCCCTCTTTGTATCGAATCCCTCATTTCATCAGTTTGAGTTTGAGTAATGTGGATTTCTCTTTTAATAGGATCAGTTTCTTTCACATTTTCTTTGTTTCGGGGACTATTTGGGTCAGAAACCGGATCGTCTTTTTTGGAACCAGCATCTTAAACAGTTTAAAAATAAAATCAGTATCAAGAATTTCATTGAAAAAAAAAATGTAATATAATAAGTTTAGATAGAATGTTGACGAACTTAATAACACTTAAAATGCTCCGAAAATAAACTCAAAAAATTATTAAAAAAATCTTCTAAAAAAAAAAAAAAATTATTATTGCCTATAAGAGATATGTAAACATACAAATTTCAAGTTTAATTTATGGTAAAAAAGTTATGAAATTAGTATATCTAAATGAAAAGTATATAAGAAATAAAAAGAAATCTATTAAAAATATTTATTTTTAATAAAATTACGTTTATTGCTTAAATGCCTAAAAATGTAAAATGAAATTAGTATATTCTAATTCAAGGGAGCATGAAATGAATTTATAGCTAAGATTCATATGAGACCAACGAAAAGAAATTTAAATCGTCAACGTCCAATCATTAATAATAATAGTAACAAATGTACTTTGTGGATACATGACATGGTTCATGCAAATTACAATAATTTAATAATCTATTTGTATTATGTTTTTTTTATTTTCTTAAGTTTTAATAATACGGTTTTGGGTAAATTTAGGTATACCTAAAATAGTTTTCATTTTTAATTATAAATAAATATCTAATATCAATTTTTTCCCAACTGCCTTGCTCCTAAACTTTTTCAAACTTCCTACCTTAGATAACCTAATCGAACCTAATCCACCCTTAGCAGTAGTCTATAGAAATAAAAACTTCAATTGTAGAGTACAAAGGAATAATGATAAAAAATGTTGTGTTACCATTAACCGATTAAGTCTGCGATTTGTAGTATTATCATTTAATTGTGCTGTAAAATTCAATGTAATTGTTTAATACTCCGATATTCATACGATTTTTTTGGTCTAAGAGTACGTTTTGTTCTAAAACATTCACAAACAATTATCGTCAATCGACTGTCCCAAAAAGAAAATTTTTATTGCACCGTCCCCGGTCTTGAAAACACCAGAATATGTCAGCCTACAATATTGTGGTATATTTAATTACTGTACAGACAAGCAGTGTTTGTTTACTGCTGCGCGTTCCTCCCTATCCCAAAAATCTATTACTGCATACTTTTATAAGTACATTAAATGTTAATCATACATTTTATGAAAATAGATCTTACATCATATTGTAAAATATTGGAATTTTAGATGATTATTTGTACACAATAATTTATTGAATGTAGAGTGTCATATTACAAACGACTTACCGGTTCCAAACTCAGCAATCGTATAATTACATGTAAAAGTTAAAATTATTATTATAGTATACACTAAGACATTTTTAGGGCCTTTGGAAAATTCTGACGTATTAACCATCATTTTAAGGTTTTAAAGTACTATTTTCAACGCAGTTACTTCTTACACCGTACACAAGCGATTAAAGTTCCTTTACATTCAGGTTAACAATAGATGTATGAAATATAATATGAAAAATAAATTATGCCTATAATGACATATAAACATGTAAGAACCAACCGGTGTACACAACTGAATAAACTGTTTTAGTTTTTCTTACGTTACTTCTTTCATGCGAGTTATTTTATAATTATTGTGACCTATATTTCAAAGAAGTATTTTTTCAGAAAAATCATAACTTGAGTGGTAGAATAAATGATTGTTCAAACAAATAATAAGACTTTGGTGGGAACATTTTTTTTAAATTCATTTATTGAAGGTTCTAGGACGTCCTATCATGCCCGAAGTGAGCAATTTTATACGATATATTTACCATGGTACACAAATATCATAAACATTTTTTTTATTCTTATATATATTTTTTTCTTTTAGGAAATCATATAGTATACTTGTGTCCTTATATTAATATTAAAAATATTTAACAGATATGTAAAAAAAAAAAATATTATTCAACATATTATAATTTATAAGACGTTATACTACACTTATACGTATGTTAAATCATGAAATTAAGATTACAATTATTACTTAATTTTAAAATTTAAAAAACAATACCAATGTAAATAATATATTATGATTAAGCCAATAATATCAATACATGTATCCATCATAAAATATGATAGATAATTATAATAATATTATCAGGTATCAAATTGAATTATGAATATAAAATAAATTATTAATTTATACATATTACGTGTACTTGTTTGTTTATAAACTTAAATTTCTAAACACTACAATATCATTTTTAAATAGTATATTATAAAGTATACGATGAACGAATTATACTTAGGAGTCTTCACTGTTGCTGCACGGTGGGTTGAACTTCGTACTCCTGACTTTAACGTCAAGAAGACATCAACAGACGAGTCGGTATCGATGGAAGAATTGGACTTGCACTGAATGACACTATACAATATTGTCCATCATATGCTAAAATATCGTTCATACGTATAAACTAAATAGTGTAATTTAAGTCAATCAAAATTATGAGTGATTAGTTATTTAAAAAAAAAAAAACCGGAAACCTGCTAATAATAACACTAAATACATTAATTTATTTTAGATTTCCTCTGATACTAATATATAAATAATAGGCTATTAAAGCTATTTAAATCATTTAATGAAGAAAAATGAACACAAGTAATTGGGAAAAATATTTTACTAGGAGTGTTATTTTTCGTACCAACGATGAGATTTTCGAGGTGTGATAGACGGTATCCCACGGCGCGGCGCCTGAAAGAGTTATAGCTTATGTGTTAGCAATAAGCAAGTGGTTTTGCTATTCTTATAAACTTAACTTAAACTATATAAAATTTAAAAAAACTATCATCATACATTTGCACATAAACAAATAGCTTAGGCAAAACTCATATCCGCTATTGTAATAAAACTATACGCTAGAAATCGCAATTAATAGAAAATAGAATGCGCATAATACACACGTCGCTAACTCACCAGTGCCTGATGAAGAATTAAGACCCACCCATATGCACCCGTTGCGGTACACTCTTATCAGTCAAGCACATTATAGCAGAATGCCGTTCTTTTGAAAAGAATAAACCCAGACAACATAAGTCTCATGAGTCATGATGCATTTTTTAATCAAGACCAATCTTATAAATACTGTATAAATTTGTTAATTGTTTATGTAAATACATACTATATCTTTACCTTGTATGCCAATGGCCATAGAAACCGAGGCTTAATTATTTAATAATAATAAAAAAAAACTATACACATATTAGTACATTACACACTTTGAACTATGATGTAATGATGTACATCGTGATATACTTTTTAATACATTTTAACAATAACGATACTGTCATTGTATCTAAATCATGTACTTATATAACTGTTGGGCTATAATAGTTTTTACTGGAAGCTCATAAAAAAAAAAAATAAAAAAAAACAATAACGATATTAATATCAGACCGCATGTTGAATAGGCTATTTAGTTACTCTTTCGGAACCTCATACTGTTATGAATTATAGTGTAATATAGTAATATAATACTATAATTCATAATATTTTTTGGTTTTAACCAGTAGAATAACTATATAAGAATTTTAGCTACGACACTGTGGTTGGTGCATTTTTTAAAAGCACATGGTTTATTATACACTAAATCAAAGTAGGTACGACATAAGTGAGTAAAAGGTATAGCGTGTATGCACCTAAAACGACTTAATGAAGTTGAAGGTTACTGAGATTGAAGTTATCACAGCATCGTTTAGATGTTTTATGGAAAAATAATAAATCGTACCCTGAACATTATTTTTCCACGGACTTGCATCATAAAATCCTGTTTGTGATATAAAAATGATACCACTCCGACTCCTGGCTACTTTCAGTGGCCATTATTTTGGTCACCAGTTCCACGGTTGTGCACTTTCGACGCCAATTTATTCGCTCTAGATGAGCATGTTTGAATTCAAACATTTCAAACCACCGCTGCAGTATAATACGAAAACCCGTACACTCACTCAATCCAGCTCTGCGACCAGGATCTAGAATGAGAATATGACCACACTGAATAATATCAACTGTACGACGGTCGGAAACGTGTATTTTCATATTCCAACTTTATCGTGGTTTTTCCGGCACGACGTGATCTGGGCGAGCGCGTTAGATTGCACGCGTGGCCGTTTTTATATTATACGAAACCCCTCCTCTTACATCCTGTTCTACCCGCCGGTGCGTCAGAGGTGGTGGGAGTCAGGCCGATCCTGGGCTGTTGTAATGTACTAATAAATTCGGCGCTGGCGGGGAAGGGCAGCAGAGGTACTTACGCGTACAATAATACGAATTTCGGGCGGCTGGTGATCGGAGGGTGGAAGGGGTGACGTTTATTGGCGGCGTATACAAAAGTTATGGTCGAGGATTGTGAAAGACTGAGAGAGTGTGTGAGAGAAAGAGAGGGATATATAGATTTACAGAGAGAGCGAAAAGGAGAGAGAAGCGTTGTCGCCGGTCGCAGCTATTATACCGCGACGAGGGTCGGCGCGGCGGCAGGGTGCGTTTTAGGGACGTGACGCGGGCAACAACGGTTGCAGTCGGCGGCAAATCAAGACGATTCCTAAGCAAGTCACCGTCGTCGTCGTCGTCGTCGTCGTCGTCGTCTATACGCGTCCCACTCCTCCTCAGTGTATATATACACCCTCTGACTTCTATGTAAAAGCATATAATATTAGTGTATACATATATATATATATACGCGATTCGGAGACGACCATCGCGAGCACCCGGAACACTATGTATATATGTATATACACGTTTCCAACGTAAACGGCACATCGGGTGAGTGGGCGAGGGTGGGTCGAGGATAAACCCTTCACCCCCACAGGCGTTGCTAGCACGCCGAAAGGATATAATAATTTCGGATTAAACTTTAATTGAGCTCACTCTCTTTCTCTCTCTCTCTCTCTCTCTCTCTCTCTCTCTCGCTCACTCTCAATGACTCTCCGCCACCACTGCCGTTTTCTTTCGGGCGACTGATGTACGTGTACATCGCGCACACACACCCATATATATACGTACCTATTATTATTATATATTATATTATATATACACGCGCAACTACACTATGTATAATATATAATAACACGCAAACACGTCTCGTTCCTTTTTATATTATACATTCTTATCACCGGCGTAGTGTGTGTGCACACATTACGACTATATCTCTCCACGTATAATGCTGTCGTTCGTATGAACCCGACGTCTTCCGTCGTAACCGTATACATGTAACATATTATATACAAGTATTATGTATATACGGTGTGCGTGCGAGTGTGTGTATGTGTGTGTGTGTGTGTGTGTGTGTGTGTATGTGTGTGTATTATGTGGGGCATAAACAAGCGACACTTGCCGTTTGACTGTTTTAATCGGGCCAACGAATTTCATCCGTTACCTCCACCTAAAATGATTCATACACAACCCATAATATAACCTATACACCGCTGTACCCTAGACTTGCAACAATAACATTTGTCTCGGAAATAAGCCGAACGTAAATCGGTCCGTTCTCAATCAGGATTCGTCACCCTGTCGGTCATCGCACAGTATTTTGCACTAGCAGAAATACCAAAGGAACGCGGTACATTCGACTGACGCTTCAATCGAAACACGTTATTGTAATAATAATTGTTATCGTACTGGCCAGACGGTCGTCCAGACTGACGTTATCATTGATGCTCAGACAATAATAATATTATTATGTATAGTTTGTATAAGTACAGCGGGTGTATATATACAAGCTGCAGACGCACGCACACCCATACACCGGACAGCGGATTTAGTTAACCAATTCCGCGTAATGTTATCTGATTCAAAGTATATAATATATATATATATATGTCGGAAACATAAACTTAGTTAAAAAGACTTAAAGCGGGAGGATTCCAGTTTTTCTTAGGAATATATAGCTGCGGGAGAGTGAAAGAAAGGGTTCGGCTGCGTTTTTTAATTTCTCTGGAAGATTGTAGACAATTTATTGATATTGCAGTTTCGGGAGCTCGCGTTTAGTTTACTGTTATTGGAGCGGAGCCGTCGGGCGAGTGTACGCACCACGACCACGCGCGTATACGAGAGACAGACGAAAAAAAAAATATAAATACAGAACACAAGACGGGAACTGTGGCGGGAGAAAGGAGAGAAAAGCCAGCTCCTCGAGCTCGTCGTTACATAACAGCCGAACGGCGGAAGAGTACTATAATATAATACAATAATATAATACGTTGCGAGGGGTATAACATGTATACACTGTATCTGTGTTTAACAAAGAGAAGAAATATATATACGTGTATATGCTATTGTTTAATTGCATCACTGGCAAACGAGTCCCCCGGCGTAGGCAACACTTTTTAAAGATATGACTATAATAAAAATTCGCGGGTTTAGCGCGTCGGATGAGCTTGGTTGGGCTCGTTTTTCGAGCAAAAATAATTGTAACGACCGCAGGCACTGGGTTGATTAAGATAATAGCCGGGGCAAAAAGTTTACACCACCATATACCCCGTCATCCAACACACCTCCACCCCTCCACCCCTCCGCCCTCCAACCATCCCCGACCGTCACCCGCGAAATGATTGTTATAATTATTATGCGCCGATAATCTCCGAAGAGGAACAACAGAGAGCTAACTCCTTAGTCCTTATATATACACGTATAAGAGTATATAAGACCACAATCGTTAATTACCGCTAGCGGTTGTTAAATGGCGCATTAAATACATATAACCGTTCTTTAGTCCATGCTGTGGCGGTGTACTTTGCCAGAAAATTCTCGAAAAACGGCGGACGAAAAAAAGAAATAATAAAAACGAATGCGCTTATTTATGGTTCACTAGTACGTTAATGTTGTCTACTTAACTACCGTGTTTAATACCGTGTCCGATGACGCGGCTGCGACGTCGGGGCTTGTGGTGTTTGCGCGAGGGTTGGTGAGGGGCGTCGGCGTGTATAACACTCGAAAGAAACTTCCATCCCTTACTCCGCCACGCAGTAAACATTATTAGGTATATATACTATTATTATGTGTTTATATGCTATGCACGCAGTAAACCATATAAACACCTATACGTTCTCGAGCGTACGTATATTTATGATTCGATTAAAATTGTTCACGGTACATCATATTAAGATTTTAATCCGATCGAGGAGCGTAAAATAAACACCGTTATTGTAATACCCACGATAGGCTACGATATAGTAGACTTCTCCAATATTATGTGCGTATATACATCAATGGCTGAAGTCACACGTCCCGGAAACGTATAGCGAGAACGCGCATTATACTCCGTATAACGACCATCGGCTGTACACGATATTATAATATTGTGTGAGGCAATACAATACAAACATCGTCTGTAATAGTAGAATATATATATTACACTTAAATATCTTCAGCTGATTTACAGTTTTGGACCTTTTCGTGTATTTCTGTAAATTAATTGCGGTTCTGATGCTCATTAGCTTATAACTATAATCACTGCTCATATAGCACAATATTTAGATGTCTCGTTGAAAAATATATGGGGTTTGCGGGAGCTTAAACTGAGCAAAATGCGTCTACCTCGAAGTCTTTAAGAATATAAGGCAATGTTTTAACCTAACAAGTCATGACGATTGTATGATGAATGTGATCGATGGTATAATATATAGGCGGTACTGTTGAAAATCTAAGTACTTTAACAGGTCACATGCAACGTTTGCGCGTTATTTATAACGAACAATAAACTTATTTGCAAGCAGATAACATCATATAACAATTTCAGAGTACCTAATATATACCTAGTACATTAGAGACGTGCGGACACTTTCTAAAATATACGGCAAAAGTAACCTATATTCGGTAATAATTAGTAGTTGGAGTTTTAAAGTTTCAAAAATATTTTAAGTAAGAAAATATTATATTGAGGGTGTCATTCGAGGGAAAAGTGTTTTACGTGATTACATTTTGCGTCAAGTTTTAAAATTCCGTTAAGTTGTCGATAACGGCGAGAACGGTGGACATTATGGGAACACTGATGGAAAACTTGAACAAAGACTGAATTCGTTTTGTAATTAGGTGAATTTTAATTAAACATTCCTGAATGTATTGGGGGTGATGTGAATGACGTCCGAAACGATTGTCCGGAACGAAGTTCGACGGTTACGTAATTGAAAGTTTTCGGACAGACTGAGAAGTGTCGAGTAGTCGTTACTTGGAACATGAGTCGGTCTGTATTGTTTTTATTAAATTATAAACATAAAATAGTTTTTTTTTTATGCACAAAGGAAAAATAAGTAAAATTGCATCAACGAATAAAATGTACAAAGATAAAAGTTTTTAATTAAAATTTGTCTTGTGTCGTTATTAAAAAATAATATAATCATTTCAAACAGTTTCCGATCAATGGACATATGACACAAAATTAATTATACGAAATTTTACGAAGCAAAATCATGTTCACACTACTATTATAGGTATTTCTCCATAATTTAATATTATGTTATCAATTTTAAAACGAATGCAGAAGCTCACTCGATTTTATTGAAAATAATTAAATTTATTATTGTAGGTTTTCTTTATCCAATTTGGGTTTAATCATCATAATGCGTAATATTATATATAATATTGGATAGAATAACGATTTCACTGTCTTATACTAACGATATTTTTTTTCTAAGTACGCAGTATAACACTTTTCATTGAAAAATTATATTTAAACCTCGTTTGGATTTCACCAATAAAATGGAGTATCATCATAATATGTTATTATAAAGTGCATTATTTATTTGAGTGATAAACAAATATTATAATGCATTTTTATTATATCGGTTAGCTCTTCGAAAGCAATAGTTAATCCAGAAGCTATAAATACATCAGATTTCTATATATATTTTGACACATATCTATTGGATTTCTGTAATTTTGGGGCTCAACGTCAACCACTAAGTGGCTGGTAAAGTATTATCGTTAAGATTGCCGAGATAACTTTACAATATATGTATATATATACGTGACATAATAACAAATCTTTAGTTGTATATTCGCACATAATATCAAACATAAGATATTGTACAACAATTCAAAATTTCACTTGACCAAACGTGAAGTCTATCGATGACCTTATTTCCAGTTACATGTAAAAAAACCACAAACTAGCAAAAAAAAAACCCAAAAAATTAATCCAAGGGTTATAATACAATATAATATATAATACAATATAATAATATAGTATGTATTAGCTTTAATACCGGTATCATTATTTTCAATTAACACGGACGATCACAAAACTATACCAATGATCTAACGCAATTTAGGTGAAGCCATTATACGATTTCGATATTGTTTTTACTATCTTTTTTTTTAAAACATAACATTTGGATTGAAATACAATTACTACAGTAATTTATTGTTAAATAAATATTATATTTGTAACATACAGCGAATTACTTACTTATATACAATTGGGCCTGTCAACATTTATTTTTAAGCTTAAAATAATAGTGATTTGAAATTATAATCGACTTATTCCCTCACTCATCAGTGCTCGAAAAAAAGCAAAACAACAAAGTAGTAACGAATGAAAATTACTAATTACTAATATTAATAGTTAACCTAATTTTTTTCCCCTCTAAACACTTGTAAATAATTTATTTATTTATGCTGTACATAATAATATACTAAACCAAATACACGTTCTATGTATTATGTTTTTTTTTTTTTAATAAATTTAATTATCCGGCTTAAGATCTCTTAATATTATATTATTATACTTGTTTTTGCGTCACTGAAGATTGTGAAGCTAATGAGTTTCTGTGGCCGAGTGTTTGCTGTTTCTCCCTCAAAAACTCAGTTAAACACTAAAATCCCATAATTTTGTTTGTTTGTTTAATTTGTTTTTTCCACGAAGGAAATGAGACATTTTTGTATAAAAAAAATTAAAAAACAAAGGTGGATTTTAGAAGTCTGTGGGTGGGAAGAGGAGTGACAATCGTGAGGGGTGGGGCAAGTGACGTTTTTATTTCCTGGCCCGTATAATTAATTCCTTGTTCCGTGTCCGAAAAGTTGGTGGAGACGCGAGTAGCAAGAAACGGCGTACGTATTGGTCGTTTCAAAGTTGAAACGTCGCCATAAATTGTTGGCTTTATTTCGTCAACTTTCGTTCGTTAAAACTTTTTTCCCCCATCCTTCCGCTCCCGATATTACATTTGCAACCGTCACTAAATTACTGGAAAACTTCTCCGCAATTCAGAAAACGTCGTACCGAACCAACAACAAATTGAACGAATTTCGACAAAAAAATCACACATACTTGTTCTGTGTATATTTGTTTTCATCGTATATACCATATAATAATATATATGCTGATTTTTACCATAAGACATCACATAATTTGTTATGAATGCTCTTGTAGTTTGTACATACCGAGATCGATTTACACGATTTCCGCCCATATGATGAGAATTGTTTGACCACCACTTTCTATAACCGAGAGATTATACATATAATTTTATCATTAAAATTGTTTAAATATTTTTAAGCAAACAAACTTAAATTTAAAATATCAGACCGTTAATCGTTATTCAAGTTCCAAAAACGGAATAATAACCACAAAAACAAAAATGACCAAAATACGATATTAGGTGTTATTGAAAAGGAGACAAATCGTAAAAATTATATGGAAATAGTAAATGTCTGAACTAGAAATGTTTTACTGTATGAAAAAAAAAATGGTCCAATAATTATTACTTTAAGTGTCTAAACTGTTAATATTTCCTATAAGTTTAAGCACCGCAAACAAATGTTGATTATCCACATGCTTATAATATTAATAGGTGCCTACTATTATTTATCACTTACACAATAATTCACTGGGTCCGAAGAAAAACGCCTTCTTCGCCTGACATTAAATCCGAAAACTCATTTACCTACATCAAAAGTTATATGATTGTACTATTCTATTCAGACGATTCCCGTCACATCATATCCACCTTGATCAGTTCACCGATATCAGAATCGAATATTTATTTGTTTATCTTCTGCAGTAGCATTTTACGGGTACACACGAATAATCCGTACTTGTCAATTATTATCAAACTAATTGCTATTTTCGTAATAATCAACATAGGTAGTATGTATATTATATTATTACAATTTAGCTAATTGATACCATGATTTGTTTTGATTTTTATGGGATAACACCATTCGAGCTTCACTTTAGCTGTGGCACGTGCACTACGGTACTTAAGTCTACGCAAGCTGCCTCGTCGGATAAACATAAGACTCACATGAAACATTTATTGATGTACAGGTTTCAGGAGTGGATAAAGATCATACAAATCATGGGAAAGAGAGACTCAACGCGGAATCAACATAATATATGATAGTATTTTAATCATATAGGGCATAGCTTAGGTAAGTACACATTATTTCGACCAAAAAATAGAAACAGTTTTTGAAATGACTTCTCTTCATTTTGTTTCCGGCAGGCTCGATTCGTCTCTGAAAACATTTTTATTCAGCAAATCAGCTGGCACCATCTATCGTGGAGACGCCTCATAGTACTCGAGCTCGTACGCGCATCGCACGCGAAGCAAACACAGGCGGTGTATTTACGACAAGAGTTACACAATTTTTGTGAGGCCGGAGTGTGAGATAAGAACGAGCAGGAGAGAAAAAAAGGTGCTCGGGCGGGAAACATCCTCCTAAAACACCGTCACGTGGTGGAGTGGTTCGCGGTGGGGACTGGGGTGACGGCCGTATCGAGGGTAAATTTATATACCTATATATATATTCACGGGGGCGAAAGGGACCTGAATATAACACGTGCGCGCGTGCGGGTGTGCGTGAGTATCGCGATGGAAAGCGTGATGGGGTAGTGGTGAGTGGGGTGGTGGCGCATGCACGAGGCCCAGGTCCTAAAGCCTCGAAGGACATAACAATAAAAAATAATGTACCGCATAAATCTGTCTAAATTTGACGATTTTATTAGTGGCAATAATGCCGGAGTGATATCCCGGGCGTCGAGCATAAAAAGAAATAGCTGCGTTCTCTCGGGTCGTCGGCCGGCGGGTGGTGGTCGGGCGGCTGCGAAAAGGGCCGGGGGTGGAGGAAAAATGTATAAATACGATGAAAAATCCCGACAAGGGAAAGCTGGATTTGGCTATTACATCAGTGAGGAGAGCGAGCGGCGTGGCGGGCGCGTTGTGTTGCTGCAGCAGCGGAGGCGCGCACACACACGCACGCACACGAACACCGACATGAGAAAAAGAGAAATATTAGCGCGACGAAACCGATAATTCTGCAGGCAAGGAAGTTTGTTTCATTATTTTTTATGATGCCTTTAAAATACATAAATACGTAATGTTTTCCTCCATCCCGCCGCCGTTCGCAACGTTTTACGTTGCTTTTCCTCTCCTATCCGATTTTTTCCTTCCTTTTTTTTGTTCTTTTATTTATTTCTTACTTTGTGTTGCGCGCGTGAAAACGTATACTCCTTACGGCGCCGCGCGGAAAAATACGCGTTATTCAATTGCCAACCAACAGCACCGCCGCCGTCACCGCCGCCTCCGAGACTTGATTAAAACGGCAGAGTCGACTTCAAAAAAACGTGTTTATGAACTTTACGACTAGCCGGTGTATACATATATATATATCACGACATGATTTGCAATTCACCTACAGCAGCTACGTGCAGTAGGTATATATAATATAATATTATTATATGTCATACGGCTGCGCCGTTCTAGCCGCTGTATGTGTAGGTACATGTACGTCACGATATTAGACCTATTCGTTATGTAACAGGTATCGCAGGGTAAGATACAACAACATCACCGATCTCATATTATGTTGGCCAAACTGTATTCATATTTTCCTATGGACTACAGCTCAGACATTTTTCTTTTCATATCTATTAGGAAGTTTATAAAGTTGGAAACTTAATTCAATTTTTTTTAAATTTAAAATTAATATTAATTGAAACAAAAAAAAACTAAACTCACCAGTCTCCAATATGACTACTTATAAAAGCTTTTGTTGTAAAGAAAACTTGCCATAAACAATCGCACTTCAAATAACCTGTAAAATAGTATAGTTATTATAACAACTGCTAAATAATATATTACATTAAAATATTAAATACGCAGTACAGCTGGAATACCTACTCGTCCAAAATCAACATTTAGTTCGGATTCGAGCTTCAAACTATCTTTTATCGTCGAAACTGCAAGAATAACTACAAAACATGAGAAATAATATATGATAATATTATATATTTTCAATATTAAAAGACCACCTAAATAAGTTGTAAGTACTCCTACCATCCGGAGAAGTCTTTTAAACTATGCATTGGGAAGTACAACTCATAATCGATGCAGTACGGAAATATAACGTTCGAACTCAAGCAAACGATAAAAGCAACTAAATTTATAAATAACAAAACTCATCGCAGTTTCAATAGTAGGTATACCTATAAATTTACCAGACAAATTTTCCAGTGACACACACTTACATATTCTATATTATAATGTTGTATGTAACACTGACCTATCCACCCTATGCAAGTTAATTTCCTTCAGTTGAATGAAAAATATGTAATCATTAAATTAAAACATAAATTATAAACTTAATTGTTCAAGTCGAGTCTTGTGAAGGTGCAGGTGCTTAAAATTCTAAGGCTTTATGGTACAACTTAAAATGTCGTAAGTACTGCGTACTCCATTACAAAATATGGTGTTTCCATTTCTCTTTTCCTTAACCGGAAATCCTATACAATTTGGCCGGGTGGACCTGTTTTTGCCGAAATCGAACATTTGGTTTTCGCCCTAATGGCTCTTTTTCCTGAAATTCAAAAATGAAGGATTTGCTTTTCACCCATAGAAATATTATTCATTATAAACGTAAAACATTTGGGTTACAACTACTGATTGCAAGTGTGTATAATAATCATATTGTGAAGACATGTGGAACAAATCGACCTCAGCCAATGCCCTTGTTAGTGGTTTTTCGTAAATGTATGTTTTGAGAAGCCGTAATTTTCGGTACATATTTTCTAAGAATTGCAAAAGTAGTTATTTGACAATCATATTTTTAATGGAATCCTTGAATGTGAGAATAATTGCGTGCCACAGATTTCTAAACCAGAAATGCTAATTTCTAAATTTAATATTATACTATATTATAAGGTCGGCGATCCTTCGGTCAACTACCCAGCTTAAATTGCACGATGATAAATGATAATATATAATATATTTTATCAAGGTAAACTCATCGGTGACATTCTAATCGTTATTCATAAAACATGTTTAAGTTCCTAATAATAAATGGTTAAATTTGTGAGTACACAATAGTATAGGAGGTACAATATAGCAAATCAATTTTGTATTGTGAGTGTTGATTTGATCAATTCCTTATCAAACTTAAATTACAAGGAGCACAATATGTTCATAAACTGAGATGATCGAATACAATGTCATCTTGGGCTACAATTTTTCGTCCTTAGTTAGTGAGTAGATTTTTTTATTTTTAACAATGTTCGGTAAGTAATGGAAAATATGTAATACACTAATACGTGACTATTATATTTTATATTTATAGTTACATAATTGATATAGTTAAAATAGCAACCAGATCAAGGATTATATTATAATGCCGACATATGTGACATAAATACATAAGACAACATTTTCTATAATAATATATTATATTTATAATGTAAATTTATGGAACATGATTTCGGAAGATTGCATTAGCCAGCTATTATATAATAATCATATAGATTTGGTTGTTATTTCTAGTATTTTTTGATTTATGCATAAACTTGAAACGAACAAAAAATTAAGATGCGCAGGTACATTTCCGTGTTTCTTAAAAATAGCCGATTTAATAGTTCTGATATCTAAGGGAATATTGAAGTATTGTTATTGATTTCCGTCAAGTAATTATATATTATTTAAATAGTTTTGTTATGTTATGTGAAGTCTGTGCAGAATAAGTGTTCATTCAAAAACATATAGAGAAACGATTAAGCGTTTTAAATCGATCGAACACGCAGTTGAATGATAAATCATATAGAAGTACAATAGCATTGTTATTATAACAATGTAATAATATATACGTGGCTAGTAGATCGATCGAAAAAATATTACATTCTGAGTGTCCGACACGACCCGACATATATATCTCATAAATATCATATTATAGGACTTAGGCGACGTTAAGTTATCGGAGGAAACGCGTGTAATATACATGTCAAATTTTCAAATCAACCGTTGTAAACTTCACCAACAGTGATATACAAATATGGGCCTTGGTCGTAAAACGCTGTATCCAATCGTCCGAGCGTTTACGAGCATAATAAATTATAGTATTTTTGTTTTTTTTTTATTTAAAAAAAAAACCAGTAAAGCATATTTTACAACTACTATGGATCGCGAAATATTTCAAAATAATATTGACGTTTATCTGTTTCGATAGTCGTATTCAACGTCAAAATAATATATAATATTATACTAAATCAACCACGCAATAAACAATATTCGAGTACATATATACGCGTACAAAGAGATTTACATTTAATTAACAATAACTACCTCTATAATATATACGCTCACAAATACGTATTATTCACTCACGATTTATATTTTATAACTTTTTTTTTCCTTTAAACGTATAAATGATAATGATTTACGAAAAACTCCTATAAATTATATATAATATTATGTATATGTGCGAGTTACAGGTGTGTAGACGCATAATTTATCGGACCGAACAGCGGATCACTGCATTTATATCGAATCGAAAAGTAAAAACTAATCGTCAATCAGATACTTTGCAGTTAAAATTATACCATTTATACTTGTGGTGCTATGTAGGCTAACTGTATAATACAGACTAATGTATAATTTTAGAAATTAGAGTTTTGAGATTTTCGGATTTAACTAATTCAAGAAACATGAACATACCATGATGTCCACTAGAAGACACAGAATTTGTAAATTTTTCATGAATCATTTCAAAATATATCAGACATCCACTATATACGGTCTATACTTTGATAATAATATGTAATGTTATGTATGATATCGTACAATTCAAATGTACCACTATAATAGATTATGTACCGATCGCGCGAGGATGGGAATATCAAAACTCGTGTGTCTATACGATGTCTACCGCGGAGAGGTGTGTAAAAATAATAATATAGTGTCCGAAACGTGATAACCGTAGTGGTGAAAATTGACGTAGGGTCGAATCGCGATGGTTACGACGAAATCGAATTCGCACGTTTGTCCGTCGGTTTGTACCTATATATATATTACACGATTCGTATACCTATAAGTTCGCGGTTGACGAATTTGACTCTCTGCGGGAATTTCGACTTTCAGATGTGTATTCGATGTGCGGCTGTCATGAAATATAATACATATTATACCGATCTGTTACATTAGAGAGAATAACTCTCGCGGACATCGTATATATTATTCCAACGGACGGATGCGAAAGACCGCGATATTTTACACTTGGCCGCACTCGTCCGGTCCGAGTCCGCAACGAACGTTTGAAATTTAATTTTTTCTTCGCCCCCATTTCTATTTTTCCCGCGGATATATAAAGCGTGTTTTTAATCCGAACCCCGCTCGGCCATATAATAATTTATCAGTGTTCGTGACAAAAGCATTGTTTTCCCGTCCGGCAACGACGTCGACGGTTCACGAAAAGGGGTGTACTTGCCAAATCGCTATACAAAAGTCTTTAACAGAGTGCGAGCGACGGCGGGAAACTTTATTTTAACCTATGGTGGCCGCCCGCCGCAAGACCGCGAGCGCAATAATTATTATCTGAACGTTTTCGATTTTGACGTTTACGAGCAGTTAATTACGAGCTGCACCCGAGATATCATGCAACTATAATACATTATTATATTGTATTATAAATACGTGTATTTAATCTTCGTTTAGATTCAAAGTCACAATATTGATAGGTATACTCGATTATACAGAGAGCAGCTTTTTTAGTTTCAATTTTGTTCCTACCTTCAAAATTTACTGGGTATTTGCTGCGAATTAATATTTGTTTTTCCGTTCGAATCATATACTGGCAGTCATCGCATAATCGCACATTTTAAAAAAATATCGTCGTTCAAATCCGCATTATTTTTTATATACAGCATCAATACCGCACAATTTCCCAAAAAATCACACCGTTTTATACTGCACACACTGTGATGTGTATCAATGACACATGCATTTGTCTGAAATACGACAAGCACGTAGAAGTTAACCGTAGGTACACGTCAAGAAGATAAGGGTAAATAAATAACTATTTTAAATGTATATAATCGATTCATAAACAATGATATAACTTTGAATAAATATTTGATAACTCTTATTCGGATGTAAAATGTGTATTCTAATTTAAACATTATAATTATTATCTTCAATAGAACAGTTTATATCTTTAACTTTTATCTTGTATCTTTATTTTTTAGAAATATAATATATTAATACAATTATTAATTACGAATATTTATTTATTAATAACAATTAGTATTTAATTTTTAACTGTGAATCAAATGTGTGTGGTTTTGGATTATCGACCCTACAAAATTCCATTTTTAACAAGAGACAACATTTGTGTGGTATTGGGCGGTGTAGTAAAAACGCGTAGTCATGAGTGGTAGATAAGTGTGTGGTTTTGAACAACGCTTTCATTATTATTACTTATATTATGTATGGTCGTTGACCAAAAATCCTCCCATGAGCTAAAACCCAAATTCTTAAGACACCCAAAAAACGTTATGAAAAGTTGTATGGTATTATTTTATAAATTGATAATGTTCTACCACATTTTAGTTGTTATTACTGGGTTTATTTTTTTTGCTTAACTTATATATAAGGCATTTTCAATGATAACTGATGTCATATTATTAATTGCTCTAAGGTTGAGAGCTATGAGATAAATCCAGAAAACTTTCGTAAGGCGATTAAGCAATGCGAAAAATTCGTACGAGTATTCGTTTCCATGAATCCGATCGATGATAATTATACACGGATAAAACTCTTACTATAATACGATATCTTGAAATGTCTAACTCGACCACAATGATGAATTCGTGATCGGTTTATTATCGATTACGGTTCACGAGGTGTACATCGCGCTTGGCATTAAAATGTGCCTCTAAGTGTCTCGCATTATAATCGTTCGCGAAATCGTAAAAGCCGCAAATAGGTGGAA